CCCTTTTCTAGTATAACCTAGTGCTTTCCCAGTTTAATATTATAGCTGTACCAGCAGAGCGTTCCAGATGTAGACTTGTCTTTAAATGTGTTGGTCTGGAACCCAAATTACTAGGTGTTAAAGTACCGTATATTCCGGCGTACAAGACGACCTCTGATGTTAAAAAACATCCCCCAAAAATCGGGTGCCTCTGGTCTGCTGGGGACCATCTCCAGCAGACCAGGGACACCGGGAGCAAAGGAGGCGGAGGGGCGCTGGGGTATAAGATGAAACCCTATCTTTTAATTAAAAAGATAGGGGGTCGTCTTATACACCCAGTCGCCCTATACGCCGGAAAATACGGTAAGATCAAACCTTCTCAGGCCCAGCCCTTCTCTTTGTGTATATTTCTTTCTGCAGCATTTTTAACTTCATTGTTCCTAGTCAAAACCTTATTGAAGGGCTTTGGGGGAATATCCATGTGAGCTGTTTCAGAGCAGTACAGGAGAATGATAATGTTGTAGTTTGTAGTGCATTATCTATGTTGTAGTGGAAAGTAGGATTGTTAAATTGCAGATAAACTAATCAAGTAGTCGATAGAATTTGCATCAATTAGTCGAAAAGGGGGAGCCACAGAGGAGTTAGCTCACCAGGGCAGTGCATCATCATTGCCCTTCATGCCCACTGGCGTATAGGACAGCAACAAAGGTCCTCCACCTCTGTCTGTCTCTGGGCAGCCTCAGTCATACAAGTCACTATAAGTGACTCTGGAAGGCTGTCACACAGAGTTGAGAAGGAATTCTTTGTTGTTGTTTCCGTAACAAAAGCTTTTTCTAGGTCAAGGTTGTTAGCCCTGAGCCAAACCCTCACTCCTGGAGGACCAGTGTGCATGCTTGGTCTGGCTCCTCCCCCCTTGACCTTTCCGGCTTGGTTGAACCTACCAGGAGCACTAAGCTCCTGCTGGCACAGCTCTTGGGATCATAAGAACATGAAGCTGGCGTGGTGCAAGTCGGGACTAAACAGTCTTGGCTCGTGCTGCCCCCAGGAGATAACCCCTCTGTGGCTCTGCTTTTTAAATGTAGTAAAAGACTGGTGGTCACCAGGCTCTTCCTATATTTAAAAGGCAGAGCTGCAGCAGTCTGGGACCGGGCATGAGCCAAGACAGATGACTCCTGGCTTGTGCCCAATCCCCCACTGTGCCTCTGCCTCTCCTGTCCCCCAAGGAGATAGTGCTAGGGGGAATCGGCTTTTAAGATGGCTCCCCCCCAGCACCAGCTCCTGCTACCCCCCCCTTGCTGCCTCTGATATAGCAGAGCGTAAGCTTGTTGGGTAGTCACTTACAACCCTAATGGGAAGTGTACTTGCCCATCATCAAAATAGTGAAACTGATTGTATAGAATGCTATTAAATATCAAAGTAAGCAAATTGGAAATACTTTTTTTCTTCCTTTAATCTTTCAGTTTCAGCAGCACTAAGTATTGCTTTAGTCTGCTATTGGTACAGATTGAACCTCTCTAGTCTGGCGCTCTTTGGTCCGGTAACAGCATGGTTTTAGTTAGCAGGATGTCCACTTATCAGGGGTGTTGCCAAGTTTCCCGCGGTCCCATAAAGTTTGTTTACTGCCACCAGTCTTGGCTCTCAGTGTGCTGTTATTTAGTTCTAATTTACCCTAAATGTCTTCTAAGAGCCTAGTAAACAGTGGAAGTGTTAGTAATGACAATATTGACCTCCTGCAGTCCAACAAATTCTGTGGTTTGGCACTGGTAAGGTCCTGAGAGTGCTGCACTAACTTTCAGGTGACAATATGATTTTTCAAACAGACAGTGTTTCTTTAAGTGTAATGCAGGATATAGCTGTGCCTTACGAATTGTGGTTTGAAGCTTTTCTAAGAGAAGGTGTGGGTGCGCACAATATGCTGTCACAGGAGGAGAAGTTTAGTTTAAAGACTTAATCATAAGATCTGTCACTTCCCTACATAACAGTATAAGACTCTTTTTTGTTGTTGTTGAAGGAAGGAAAGTGCTGGTTTGGAAGCCTCTTTTCAAATTTGAGGGGAGATTATTAACTCTAAAATTACAAGATTTGGGTTATTCATACAACATTCTCTGCACTGGACTCAGATTGCTTTCAGTTTCAGAGAAACAACTGGCAAATCATGTGATATATCTATATATATATTTTAGAGAGTTTGTGTGTGTGTGTGTGTGTGTGTGTATATGTGTATATATTTATATAAAAATTTCAGTTTGTGCATCTGTCTGTTGTTCCATGAGTACATCTGTAAGGCTGTTTAAGAACTTCTCCTAAATCAGGGGTGGGCAAGAGAGCCTTCATGGACCGCATCCAGCCCACCAAGCAGATTGATCCAGCTCGTGGCCACCCTGCTGCCCCCCCCCCCCCAAGCCAATCGAGACCTGGGGCTGGGGGAGCAAGCAAAGTCTCCTCCCCCTCAGGGGCAGTGCCTAGAGTGAACCAGCAGCTGTTTTGAATAGCTGGAGGTTCACTGTAAGCACTTTCATGCCCCTTGCTGGGTGGGGGCAGGAGGCAAGAGGCTTTGCACCTATTTGGCCTGGGGGTGAGGAAGTGCACGATGTGTCCTCCTGCTACCAGGGGCACTCAGTGCCTAGAGGGAACTGCCAGACGTTCAGAACAGCTGGCAGTTCTCTTTAGGGGTCAGGGGGCAAATACTTCACATGTTCCCTCTGCCTCCAGGCTAATCATGGTCTGTGGGCGGGGGAGCATGGGAGAGTGGCCAGCTGGGGCCAGGGCTCTCCATATTGCCAGCTACTGGCCATGGGGCAGTTGCATCCCAGCCCCAAACCCCTCCTTGCCAGCCAGCGACTCCCACCGCTGCTGGTCC